CTGATAGAAACGTTCGTGTTTTTCGCTAAGAAGATTGCAAAGCGGAAAATTCTGAAGATGTCAAGGAGATAATCGCTTCGAGTAGTGCCAACATGCGTAATTGCATCAATATTAAGATGATAATAATTTAGGATAAAAAGTGACTTAATAATTATCGTCGGAAATATTTACAATGTCATAGCACGAAAACTGTAATCAAGCAGCAATATTATTTTGACATCGTGATTGTTTCAATCATTAGCATGAAATGTGACAATGTACTTTACATTATACGAGTGCACTATTATGAAATTTATTACCGAAGTTAGTACGTATATTATTACATGTAGAGAAAAGCGAAATAGATTAGCTTGTTGATGAAATTAATTGCAGTGTTTATCAATATCCTATCTTAAAAAAGGCATGATAGATTTTTATTGTTGCCTTTCTTCTGCGATACTAACCATTTTGCTTAAACATTAATTTTTACATATGATTTATACGGTTTGCTGTTATTATTTTTACAGAAAATATTTAAAGTGTTTTCCTTGATACATTTCCGTTTTTTTTGTTTAAATATTTTTTGAAGTCAAAGACGTAACTCTATTAGTTTAGTATAAATGCTCACTAGAAATTTGATTCGATTATTAATTTTCAAATTATACTACGCTATATATTTATGTAATAACCTAATCACAAGTTTAAGTAATTTTAATATATTTTTACACGTGAATAATAGGACTTGTGTTAAAAAGTACTACAAATTGCGACAATGATATAATAACATATAAATAATGGTAATATAATATTATTTTTATTAAACATAGTTATAATTAATAATTCTTTGTCACTAAAAAAATAAATGGTAATAGTGTGCGCTGGTGTGTCAAATTTAATAAAATTACTTAATTCATTTTTTCTACCATGAAACTTATCATAACTTTTTGCCTTCACTCAATATATTTTTATATTATTAAAAAATGCCGAAATTATTTTTGCACACAGACGAATAGCTCTGTCAAAGTGTGTTAACAAAAATATTCAAACAAAATAAAATGTTAAATAAAATATTAAAATAATCTCCATTTTAATGCGAGTATTTAAGATTAAATTAAAGCAAATTAAAGCACATTAAAAACTGCTATTATTGTACAAACAAGAATAAAATGATGTAATACAAAATTTATACCAATAAATCAGAACGTTATTGTAAAGAAAGTCGACGATAATGCCATATCTGAAAATAAATCAGGTGGTTAAATGCATACATATTACAATTTTTATGCGAAATCTATTGAGACAATCATATCTATTTATTTCTGCGATCAGTACATCTATTGCACTTAATGGTGTATAAATAATTTTAAAAAATACGCATTTGTCTATATATAGTCATATCCATTTCTTTGATACAGTTGTAATTTGAAAGTAATTCTATTTAATACACAGAAATAATATATTATATGTGCATTATTTCTTACCAAATATTCGTGTAAAGGATACGCGCTATAACGCCTGTTTCGCTGAAATGTTATTACTGCACGGAGAAAATTTTATATCAAAAACTATTATTACTACGGCAGTAGCCGCGGATCATAAAAAAATTATAAAATTATTACTGTGTCTTTCACATGTGAAACATAGTACAAAATTTTCGGTTTGCGGCTTCATGGTCCGCTGTTAATTAATGCCGTATATAGTAATTTTTGATATAAAGTTTTCTCCGTGTATACATACTCGGCATGAGATGTTACTGCGTGTTTTGATCGTTCTTAGCTAGAATTGACCGACAAATTAATATTTACATTCAAGTGGAAAATAATTATGCGTCTTCTTCCTCTACTATACTCATCGACAGAAAGGTTCTTGTATCAGTTCGTGTTAGTTTATCGTATTCAGTTATACGCGTCTTAGTCATTTCAAACGGACATAATGTCTACATCACTAAATATTGCAAATAAAAAACACGTGTGGGAATATTATGTGAAACTATCGGATTTCGAAGCACAGTGCAAGTTTTGCGAAAATAAATATATATATTTAGGAGATCAAAACTTAAAAAGACATATGGCATTGCATCATATAAAAATTTGGAAATACGAAGAAGAGAAAACAGTAATAAAAGGGCCATGGATGTTTTTCAAATATTTATACAAATCATATTCACAATGCGTTATCTGTGATGCACATGTTTTGTCTACGTTCAAATATGTAGAAAATCACTTGAGTTCACATTCTGAAAAACAACGGGAAAATCATACATTTCGCAGTTGGCCATGGAAATATTCGACAAACAGAGATGATTTTGTAGTGGAGTGTAATATTTGTAATAGGGATGTATCTCTTCATGTTCATGCTAACCTGGATATTCATATAAAATTGAAACATTGGGACAAATTGAAAAATACGCAAAAAATACATGACACAGTTGGTGCATCAGAATGCGTTTCATCACTTCAAACGGACACATCGTCTAAGTCACTAACTATTGTAACTCAAAAGCATTTTTGGAAATATTTTGTTAAATTGCCGGATTTTAAAGCGCAGTGCATGTTTTGTGAAAACAAATATAATTATATAAACACCGCAAATTTCTTTAATCATACGAAAAAATATCATAAAAAAATTTTGAAATACGAACAAGAGAGAAAACTAATAAAAATTCCATGGATGTATTTCAAGTATTTAAACAAATCACATTCACAGTGTATTATTTGTGACGCAAATGTTCTGTCTACATCCGAATCTGTAGAAAATCATTTGAGTTCACATTCTGAAAAACAACGAAAAAATTATATCCTTTGCGGTTGGCCATATAAATATTCGACCAAAATAAATGATTTTGTGATGGAGTGCAATATTTGCAATAAGAATGTACTTCTTTCCGTTTATAATTATTTGGACGCTCATATAAAAGAGAAACATTGGGACAAATTGAAGAATACGCAAGAAACACATGACACAGTTGGTTCATCAGAATGCGTTTCATCACTTCAAACGGACACAACGTCTAAGTCACTAACTATTGTAAGTAAAAGCATCTGTGGAAATATTATGCAAAATTGCCAAATTTTAAAGCGCAATGCATATTTTGTAAAAAATATTATTATATAACCGTTAATACTTTCCGAATGCATATTGCAAGACATCATAGAAAAATTTGGAAATACGAAGAAGAGAAAAAACGAATAAAATTGCCATGGATGTATTTCAAGTATTCAAACAAAGTATATTCACAATGTATTATTTGCAATGCAAATGTTCGACCTACATCTGAATCTATAGAAAATCACTTGAGTTTGCATTCTGAAAAACAACGAAAGAATCATATGCTTCATAGTTGGCCACATAAATATTTGACAAAAAGAGATAATTTTGTAGCGGAGTGTAATATTTGTCACAAGAATTTCGCTCTTGGTATTCAGCATTCGTTGATTTCTCATATAAAAATGACACATTTGGACAAATTGAAAAATACAAATTAAAGAAACACATGACACAGTCGATTCGTCAGAACGCGTTTCGTCAATTCAAACGAACTCTGTTTAACATTGAAAAATTGTTATATATTGTTAAAATGTTTCCCTTAGGTTTAACAAATAAAAAAATGCTTATAGAAATTTTTAGTCTTGAACAAAAATGCCAAAGTTTACACGGATTATCAAGATTCATTTTAAATATTTCTACTCATTAAAATTTTGATGATAACATTTTATCTGAAAGTTTGGAAGATTACTCGCATTTCGAAAAACATTTACAAAACATACATTTTAGAATTGGCTATGGAAATACAGTTCCGAAAGTGATGGTTTTGAAGTAGAGTATAATATTTGTCACTGACTATATTTGTAGCTATTAGAACTTATTTAAATAACTATATAAAGAATGAACATCATTTGGCAAGCTAATTAAATAGAATGAACAAATGTCCGTAAGTTTGATTGATATTATTTTTAATATTATTATGTATAATTAATTTTACATTACATTAATTATTATGTATAATTATTGTTTATATAGATTTATCCGGAAGTTGACAATGGGAAATGATGATAACAGCGTCCAAGCATCACAACCTGCAATAATGGCAGTCTTAATTTTAACAATTTTAATTTATTAATTAAAATAACAATTTTTACTATGTTTTAAATTTATAAACTATATTCTTAAATTTATTAATTGAAACAATTTAATGAAATAATCATTGACATTTCTGAAAAAAGAAAAATACCGATAATTTACAGTATAATTTAATTTCAAATATTGAAGTTTTTTATAATTTGTTTATTTTGACGCATGTTGAAATTTTTTTATATTTTTTCATTATTTTCTGTACTCTATATAGTGTCAATTTCTTATTATCATTTTTGTAATAGTTTCCGAATGTAATACATTTAATTGTCGGTGAAATATATCAGTTTAAATTTTAAAATTATGTTTGTTCAAGAAATGTTTATGTTATACATGATGCATTCATCATAAATAAATCACCATATAAATTAAATAATTTTATTGTAAGAGTGTTATTTTATTATTTAAAGGTCATTTTTATATATGATTTGTACGGTTTGCAGTAAATGCAAGTTGTTTTATTTTTTATTTTATTCATTATTTTATCGGGATGCGTCAATTTTTCTGTCAATGTTATTTACAAAAATTCACGTATAGAATCATAATCGAAAGCTCATTCATCAAAAACTGTCCAATCGAAATTTTCGAGATTATATAATAGGTGCTGCTGAATGAATTTGTTACCTTTGCCCCAATTTTTCTGAAATATTAGATAATAATAAAAATTTTGTTGATAAATTTTAATAAATTATTGATATTATTAAACAGCAATGTCTTGCGGTTAAGATGCAGCCCTTAATGATATTTCAAAATTACATTAATGTTAATTCCTGATCACGTTAAAAATCTGCTATTTTTTAAAGTCTTTTCTATATATTCCAGTTGTTTCATGAATTATCGTATTTTAATTGCCTAAATGGAATACACAATGTTTAAAAACTAATTCAAAAGCTGAAGTCTGCAAATAAAAACTGGGAATTTTTATGATAAAACCTCCGTGTTCTTTGATAAGAAGATTGCAAAGCGAAAGATTCTGAAGATGTCAAGGAGATAATCGCTCCGAGTAAAGGCAACATGCGTAATTGTATCGGTATCAGGATGATAATAATTTAAGATAAAAAATGACTGAAAAATTATCGTCGGAAATATTTACAATGTTATAGTACAAAAACTGTAATCAAGCAGCATTATTATTTTCACATTGTGATTGTTTTATTCATTAACATAAAATATGACAAATTTACTTTACTTACATTATACGAGTGCACAATTATGAGATTTATTACCGAAATTGTTGCGTATATTATTACATGTAAATAAAAGCGGAATAAATAAGCTTATTGATGAAATTAATTGCAATGTTTATTAATATTCTATCTAAAAAAGGCATGGACAATTTTCATTCTTTCTTACTTCCGCGATATTAATCTTTTTGTTTAAACATTAATTTTTACATATAATTTATACGGTTTGCTGTTATCTTTTTTACAGAAAATATTCAAAGTGTCTTCCTTGATACATTTTTGAATTTTTTGTTTAAATCTTTTTTGAAGTAAAAGACGTAATTCTATTAGTTTAATATAAATGCTCACTAGAAATTCGATCCGATTATTAATTTTCAAATTATACTACGCTATACATTTATGTAATAATTCAACTAAATGTATTTTATATTATTAAAAAATGCCAAATTTATTTTTGCACACAGACGAATTACTGTCAAAGTGTGTGTTAACAAAAATATTCGGACAAAATAAAATATTAAAATAATCTTTATTTTAGTACGAGTATTTAAGATTACATTACAGCAAATTAAAGCACAATAAAAACAGGTATTAATAAACAAATAAGAATAGAATAAAGTAATATGAAATTTATACCAATAAATCGAGGCGTTTTTGAAAAGAAAGTTGGTAAAGAACGATAATGCCATATCTAAAAATAAATCAGGTGGTTAAATGCATAAAAGTAATAATTTTTTATGCGATATCTATTGAGTAAATCATATGTATTTATTTCTGTAATAAGTATATTAATTGCATTTAATGCAGCATAAATAATTTTAAAAAAAATGCGTTTTTCTTGATATAGCCAAATAAATTTCTTTGTTACAGCCATAATTTGTAAGTAATTTTATTTAATACACATAGACAATATATTATTTGTACATTATTTCTTACAAAATATTTGTCTAAAGGATACGCGCTGTTACGTTTATTTCGCTGAAATGTTATCACTACACGAAAAAAAATTTTATATAAAAAATTACTATGTACGGCAGCTGCGGATAATAAAAAAATTATAAAAAATTTTTACGATATTTTTTCACATGTGAAACATAGTGAAATATTTTTGATTCGCGACTTCATGGTCCGCGGTTATTGCAATACATAGTAATTTTTAATATAAAATTTTCTCCGTGTATAGATACTCGGCATAAGATGTTACCACGTGTTTCGATCATTGCTAGCTAGATTAGTCCGACGTATCAATATTTACATTCAAGTGAAAAATAATTATGCGTCTTCTTTCGTTCTCTACTATACTCATCGACAGAAAGGTTCTTGTATCAGTTCATGTTAGTTCATCGTATTCAGTTATACGCGTCACTTCAAACGGATATAATGTCTACATCACTAAGTATTGCAAATAAAAAACATGTGTGGGAATATTATGTAAAACTATCGGATTTTGAAGCACAGTGCAAGTTTTGCGAAAATAAATATATATATTTAAAAGATCAAAGCTTAAAAACACATATGGCAATGCATCATATAAAAATTTGGAAATACGAAGAAGAGAAAACGATAATAAAAGGGCCATGGATGTTTTTCAAATATTTAAACAAAGTATATTCACAATGTGTTATCTGTGATGCACAAGTTCTGTCTACATTTGAATATGTAGAAAATCACTTGAGTTCACATTCTGAAAAACAACGGGAAAATCATACATTTCGCAGTTGGCCATGGAAATATTCGACAAACAGAGATGATTTTGTAGTGGAGTGTAATATTTGTAATAGGGATGTATCTCTTCATGTTCATGCTAACCTGGATATTCATATAAAAGTGAAACATTGGAACAAATTGAAAAATACGCAAGAAACACATGACACAGTTGGTTCATCAGAATGCGTTTCATCACTTCAAACGAACACATTGTCGAAGTCACTAAAAATTGTAACTAAGAAGCATCTGTGGAAATATTTTGTTAAACTGCCGGATTTTAAAGCGCAGTGCATGTTTTGTGAAAACATATATTATTATATAGACAATGGAAATTTCTATCATCATATAGAAAAATATCATAAAAAAATTTTTAAATACGAACAAGAAAGAAAACTAATAAAATTTCCATGGATGTATTTCAAGTATTTAAACGAATCACGTTCACAGTGTATTATTTGTGACGCAAATGTTCTGTGTACATCCGAATCTGTAGAAAAGCATTTGAGTTCACATTCTGAAGAACAACGAAAGAATTATATCCTTTGCGGTTGGCCATATAAATATTCGACAAAGAGAGATGATTTTGTAGTGGAGTGTAATATTTGTAATAAGAATGTATCTCTTTATGTTAATACTTACCTGGATGTTCATATAAAAGTGAAACATTGGGACAAATTAAAAAATACGCAAGAAACACATGACACAGTTCGTTCATCACAATGCGTTTCATCACTTCAAACGGACACAACGTCTAAGTCTCTAACTGTTGTAACTAAAAAGCATGTGTGGAAATATTTTGTAAAACTGCCGCATTTTAAAGCGCAGTGCATGTTTTGTGAAAAAAATATTATTATATAACCGTTAAATCTTTCCATATGCATTTTGCAAGACATCATAGAAAATTGGAAATACGAAGAAGAAAAGAAACTAATAAAATTGCCATGGATGTATTTTAAGTATTCAAACAAATTATATTCACAATGTATTATCTGCAATGCAAATGTTCGATCTACATCTGAATCTATAGAAAATCACTTGAATTCGCATTCTGAGAAACAACGAAAGAATCATATCCTTCGCAGTTGGTCATATAAATATTGGACAAAAAAAGATGATTTTGTAGCGGAGTGTAATATTTGTCACAAGAATTTTGCTCTTGGTATTCACCACAGGCTGATTTCTCATATAAAAATGACACATTCGGACAAATTGAATAATACAAATTAAAGAAATACATAACACAGTTGGTTTGTCAGAATGCGTCTCATCACTTCAAACGGACTGTCTATACCATTGAAAAATTGTTATATATTGTTTACAAAATTTCCACCTTAGGTTTAACAAATAAAAAAATGCATGTAAAAATTTTTAGTGTGGATCAAAAATACCGAAGTTTACACAGATCATCAAGATATATTTTATATATTTTAACTCATTAAAATTTCAATGAAAACATTTTACTTACCTGAGAGTTTAGAAGATCACTCGCATTTTAAGGAACAGTTTAAAAAGCATACATTTCAGAGTTGGCTATGGAAATACTGTACCGAAAGTGATGTTTTGAAGTAGAAGGTAATATTTGTCACTGATACATATTCGTTATTACTAGAACTAATTTAAATGACTATATTAAGGATGACTATCATGTGGCAAGTTAACTACATTAAATGAAAAAATGTTCGTAAATTTTATTGATATTATTGTTAATATTATTATGTAAAATTAATTTTACATTACATTAATCATTATGTATAATTATTGTTTATACAGATTAATTTGGAAGTTGACAATGGAAAATGATGGTAACGGCATCCAAGTTACATCACAACCAGCAATATTGGCAGTTTAAATTTTAACGATTTTAATTTATTAACTATAATTATAAACTTTACTATGTTTTAAATTTATAAACTATATTTTTAATTTATTAATTGAAACAATTTAATAAAATTATCATCGAAATTTCTGTAAAGAGAAAATACCGGCAATATATAGTATAAATT